TATATATATATATATATATATATATATATATATATATATTATAATTTATAGAGAAATAAGATATTTTTGAGTATTTTATTACTTTTGCATTTTATATTATTTTTATGTTTTCTGTGCGCCATAAAATTTCGTATAATTGTAATAATAACAATATACTGTACATATGTTACATTAATAATAATATAATAACGATATATATTATAATACAATTATAAGAAATTTTAATTCTTTAATTTTCCCCTTACATTACATTTTAAGAAACTCTAAGTATTTCAGGAACTCTGACGTTCGAAATTCGATAAAAATAGCGAGGAAAAATCGTGCAGCAGGATCGTTGTAAAGAAAAAGCTTGAACCTTCGCGACCATAGCAGATTCACTTATAAAAAAAAATATATATATATATATATATATTCAATATTCCTCGTTGCGAATTTTAGAAACAAAGATCTTTCGTCTTTCTTTCTATTTTAGTTTCTTTCACAGAGACCCAGTTTATACTAACAGTAAGTTACGATAGTTTGAATTATCGAGTGTCCAAATACTCTTGTATACAACAGTGTATTGCAAATTCGAACGAAACAGACACTGAATCATTTACGCCTGCCAGTATTTCTGAATGTCAACGACTGAACGTCAACGTCCACCTTGACTTTGCCTCGATGATACAATACATAGCCGTGAAACGCGATTGCCTTGACTGCCGGACTTAGATTTATTGAACTCACCTGATATGAGCACCAACACTATCCACATGATCCCCACCAGGCTCTTCATCATGTCATTGTGTCACGTCCAACTCATTTCTTCTCGCCTTCGTGCACTCCGGACCCTTCAGTTCTAGCACTGAAACAGGGAGAACAGGTTGTTCGATTGAGTGCAACGATGCCCCTTGAATAAGCGTTCGCAATTAGAGCAACGGGACACGTACTTCTCTTTACGATTTACGACCGGGGCGATTAGCGACCAATCGATATCAAATTTCTTCGCAATTCCTTGGGAAATTATTACCCGCGTGTGTAATTTATTCCGTGTATGCCTCGAGACAAATTCAAATTTATCCGAGAAATTTATTATATTACGCTCGTCTGATCACAAAATTCCAATTTGCTCGGAGATTATGCGCAAAACTACGATTGATGGTGTTATTGGTACTTAAATTTACCTTGGGAATGTTGTTCCCCTTATTCCTCGTTTGTAATATTTCAACCGTTGCGTGTAAAATATGGTTGTTTACGATTATGGTTACTAGAAATTTACCTTCGAAATTTGGAATCGGAATCGTGTCAATTTTTTTTTTTTTTTTTTTTTTCTTCGTCTCATTACGACAATTCTAATTCGTCTGGTAAACCGTGCGTTCGAAATTTACCTTTGAAAAATGTAAAATTAGAATTTCTGTCTCGTTATGAAATTTCAATTTGTCTAGAAACCACGTATAAAATACAACTGCTTACGGAGAGTCGAAATTTTGCACTGGAATCGTATTAGCTACGAAAATTTCGAATTTTACATAGAAACGATGGATAAAATATTGTGGGTAACCTAAAATTTATTTATTTGGAAAATTTCAAATTGAAAATCGTCGCAGTCATAAAATTTTAATTCGTTCAGAAAATACGGTTGCCTATGGGTATATTTAGAATTTGTCTTCGAAATTAAAAATTGCATTATTTTCGTCCAGAAATTTCAATTTGTCCAAAAAATAGTATGGTTACTCACGTGGTCAAGGATATTTAAACTCAGAATTTTTATCTCATTACGAAATTTCCTTACGAGAGTTTCTAGAATAATTTTAGCAATTCTATAAAAATTCTGGACGATGTTGTAAAAAAAAAAAAAAAAAAAAATTACGAAGTGACTGTACAAGTCAATACTGAAACATCGTCACTATTTTTGTTCTTGTGACGTGCTCGCGTTATACACACACCAGCGATTAATCTTGTTCAAGCGAATAAACGGTTCAATTTTCTTTCTCGATTAATTCTACCTACCGAGCGAACGCCACGCTTCTTGACGAACGAAAAGATACAAGACTATTTAATAGAATCCGCTAATTGTACCTCTGCTCTGCTCCTAATAGAAAAAAAATCTGGCTTCAGAGCGATCGTTCTTTTTATTCATTAATCTCTTTGTGATACTTCTATTAAAAGTGTACACCACACTCTGCTAATTCTCTCGCAGGAATTTCAATTAATATTTATCAAATTTTTTTTTTTTTTTTCTAAAATTACGAGCTACAACGAAGTTATGTGAAACAATTGTCGATATTTTAGACTTTAGTTATCAATTTGTAAAAACGAACGATATGATAATTTATTTAGTCTCGTTTTAAAACGTAAAGCCTCTATTTCGACAGTTTCAGGCGTGTTTTCTTCTTTTTTTTGTTTCCCAAAGATATTTTTTAGCGAGTCGACTCATTTAAAAAATTGGGAGATAAAACTCGTACAGCAATTAAAAAAGGGGAACAATTAAATTTTAAAGGATAATGATCCTGGTGGGTCTAACAATATTGAAAAAAATTTTGCAATATTTCCAGACACACTTGAACTTTTATAACAACAATAAATAAACAACGATAAAAATATCTTTATATTTCTACTCTCAAGAAATCTTTGAAAAAAAGAAAAGAAACTGATCTGTGCCGCTTCGAAATGTGACTAAAATAAATTAAAATTGCTCGATTTTCATTTTAAATCAATCATGTATATATTTATTATATATATGTATTTAACTATTTTTATATATATTCCATTCTACTATATTTAACTCTCTCTCTCTCTCTATATATATATATATATTTTTATATATTATATTCTATTTTGGATATTTTATATATATTTAATTGTTTTTATGTATATTTTATATATACTCTATTCTAGTATAATAATTTTATATATATTTAACTATTTTTTATATTTATTATATTATATTATATTATTATACTAGAACAGAGTATATATAAAATATACATAAAAACAATTATTTATTATTTTTTATATGATGTATATATTTTATATATATATTTAACTATTTTTATATATATTCTATTCTACTATATATACTATTTAACTATATATACATTCTAATATATTATATTCTACTTTGTAATAACAGTTTGAAACATCGGAGGATTTTTCATCGTCAGCGATATGGTTATGTTGTTTACCGTGGCTGACAGGTTACATCTCGAGCAATTTTCCTCCGGAGGGATTTATGCCGGTCATAAGGCCTGGCGATTACGCGATTTCGGATGCCGGGGCTGAAATTTTCGCGTCGGATCTCGTAAATCTCTCTTAGTTAGGCGAGCGGAAACGCGATGGCGTATCTCTTGAAATATCGTTGAATCTGCAACTCGGATATACATAAGCAGCTTCCACCCTTCTCCCCCCCTCCCCCCCCCCAACCAACCAACCCCGTTGCACGTTCGAAACTTTAAAACAGGAACTCGAAAACTCCCGAGATTCCCGGATTCTCGTGGATTTCCCCCCGATCGAACGTGCATGGAGAAAAAGGGATGCAAAAGTAACGCATCCTTTTCCCCATTAAAAGTTGAAACATCGACGAGAAAACAGACAATGCGTTCGTGTAAGTATCAGAAAAAAAAATCCAGAAAGTCGATCGTGTTTGAAACTCAAGAGTGAATTTCATGCAGTTACATTTAGGAATGACCAGAGATCCGTGGATTTTTGAATGCATTCTCGAACATTCGAGGGCATGATTAAACAAATAGAATCTAGGATAGTTGATCCCTGATACTGATTAGTCAGTATTATGGTAAAATACTCTACTTCGGATATTTTATATCCAAATTTATTTGGATATTTAACTATTTTTTATATTTATATTATTATTTTTATATTTATATTTATATTATGTATATATTATATATATACATTTAACTATTTTTATATATATTCTATTCTACTATATTTAACTATATATATATATATTCTATTATATTCTACTTTTGATATTTTATATATATTTAACTATTTTTTATATTTATATTTATTATGTTATATTATTTTTATACTTATATTATGTATATATTATATATTATATTTAACTATTTTTATATATATTCTATTCTACTATATTTTACTATATATATTTTAATATATTATATTCTACTTTGGATATTTTAAATATATTTAACTATTTTTTATATTTATATTATGTATATATTATATATATATTTAACTATTTTTATATATATTCTATTATACTATATTTAACTACATATATGTTCTAATATATTGTATTCTACTTTGGATATTTCATGTATATTTCTGCATATCATACACGCGTTGCGTGCATTCTTGCAGTTTGAAATTTTAATTAAACCGCGCAAAGATACTCTGGGAATGACTATAGTTTGAAAATTTCTTAGCGCTCTTAAATTTATTTTACTTTGACCCATTTCAGTTTTCTGAACTTTTAACTTTAATTCTCCTGTTTTTCTTTTTTTTTTACTTCTTGATACTAAAAAGTAATGTCGATCATTAAAATATCACGAATTATTACGTTAAACGGAGTTGAATTTTGTACAAATTTAGACAGACTTTGGCTCTTTTTATTCTTGTTATTATAAACATCTCTGATAAAAAATAGAACAGTAGCGCTTATTAATAATATTATAATAGTAGCATTTTGTTAATATTAGAACACTTGTTAATATTAAGCAATAATAATAATATAAATATGATTATCTCCTGCATTTCCTAATTATTCTGTTATAAATTCGTTGTCTCATAAATTATACTACATAGTACAAACTGTACATAATACAAACGTAATAAAATCCATTACGAATAAAAATAACTTTCGCTACAATATAACAATATAATATCATAATACAAGATTATACAAATAGTGCAAATATAATATAAAATCATAATATAAGTAAATATAAATATAAATATAAAAATATAAAAATATAAATATAAAAATATAAAAATATAAATATAAATGTAAAAATATAAAAATATAAATATAAATGTAAAAATATAAAAATATAAATATAAAAGTAAAAATATAAATATAAATATAAATAAATATATAACGTAAAACAATCGTCCCTAATAATTTTTAACTTTATAGAAACGAAAACTGACATGTTGTCGGTCACCCGGAAAATACATTTTCAATTTCCCCTCCAAGAATTTCGGCTGAGGAAAAAGAAAGAGGAGTGAAGAAAGGAAGGAACGAGACTGGTAATCGATTTGCAATGGGATTTGCTAAAATTCGCGAACGAACGGGCGCGTAATCGGTAATCGGTTCGCTCGATCCGTTTCAAGTTGCCGCATCGTGCCTGCGCCACGTGGACCGCAGAACTGCGGCTGCAGCTCGGTGCGTTTTGCATCGGCCGCAGCATACTATAGCGTGACGCAGCGCAAGGTGCATCGCCGAGAATCCGGCTGCACGATCGCCTCGATTTTTCGCTTCCATTTACTCCGCCGCGAATAAATAATTGGACAATTCCGCGAGAAGGTTGTAATTTTTGTTACGTTTCGATTCGATCTACTCTACGACTTGGTCCACCGTGAATAAATATTATAGTTGAACAAATATTAATTGGACAAATATCAAGTGGTTAAATATTATAATTGAATAAATATTAATTGGATACATATTATAGTTGAATAAATATTCATTGGACACATATTATAGTTGAATAAATATTAATTGGACACATATTATAGTTGAATAAATATTAATTGGACACATATTATAGTTGAATAAATATTAATTAGATAAATATTATAATTGAATAAATATTAAAATATTATAATTCGATAAATATTATAATTGAATAAATATTAAAATATTATAATTAAATAAATATT